TTTTTCATTATTTTCAAGTTCTTCTATCTTTTCTTTTTTGGCATCCAATTCTTTTTGTAAATTTTTAATTTGCTCTTCTAGTTCTTTAGTTTCCTTGTTATTATTTTTGGCGTTTTTAAGTTCTTCTTCCTTAAATTCGAGGTTCTTCTTTAGTTCTTCTATTTCATTTACTAACTGATCTTTTTCTTCATTTAATTTAATCCAATCCTTTAATTGATCCACCCCGATACCAACTAGAGTAGCGATTCTTCGATTTCTATCTTCAATTTCTCGATCTCTGTCTTCAATTTCTTGGTTTTTATTTTTAATTTCTCGATCTCTATCTTCAATTTCTTGGTCTTTATTTTCAATTTCTTGGTTTTTATTCTTAATTTCTTGGATTTTATTCTTAATTTCTTCTTGAAGTCTCCCTTCAATTTCTATCCCGTAAGTCGCCCAAAAATTAATCCTAGCCCTTTCAATATCTACTTCGCCATCTTCCTCTATATAAGGTCTCAATGCTTCCTCAATGTTTTTAACTTTTGCATCTGGTCTCAGTTTTGAGGAATAAATAATGCTTCTTGCACTTTCTGGCAAGTATCCATAATCATTATCAATGTCTGTATTACTTATGTCTAGAATTCCTAATTTAATCATTTTTCTTAATGGTCTCAAAGAACCACAAAAACGATTATATTCATTTTGAATTACTCTGTTTTCATCAAAGGTTCCTAAACGAAGTTCCTCAAGACTTACAAATTTACTTAAGAAACTCAAATCACTTTCAGCAAAATTATTATTTGCTATATTTAAATAAGTGATTTTCTCAGGAAAAGGAAGTGAAGAAAGAAAATCGGTACTAATCAAATTATTATTAAGACAAACTAATTCTTGTAATTTATAACAACAACTGATATCTATATCAGTTATTTTGTTAAAGGAACAATTCAATTTTTCCAAATTTTCGAAATCCTTTAAGTCCAAAATACCATTGAGATCCTTATTTGAGATTTCAATGACAAATGTTTCTTTTCTTTTTTCTTTCGGATATTCACTATCCAAATAGTCTTTTACTTGTGTCATAATTATTTTTTAATACAATTGTTAACGGCGGAAAATAAGGGTTCCTTCAGATGAGTGCAATATACACTACAAACCACAAAAAAAACAACCAACACGAGGCGTACGATTTTGGCGAGTTTAAGAAATAATAAAAAGACACGGGGAACAATTATTAAGTATTATTTCATTCGAGTTAGCCGCATGGCAGACACGTGCCCAATTGTTGTAGCAGACGGCTTAATTCCAGTACAAACCTGATCAAAACTGGAAGAACTGGCACCTCTGTGAAATCAGATATGTGACTTCAACGCGTTGCTTGTTTTAGGAAACGTAATTACAAAGAATGGACAGATAGATATAATAAAGGATAATAATGCGAAGGTAAAGTAAATACTTAATTGAATAATAAGGATAAACGGGATTATTAAATACTCATACTATCAATTTCCCCGCACGGAATTCAGCTGAATCACATTTCGCACCTGGCCCTCCCATCCCTTAAAAAAAATCCCGCCATTTCGCGCAGCTCGGATGCATGAAATTTTAATTTTGACAACCGGCCTGCTTTATGCAGGTGGAAAACCACCTAGTTAATGTACTATACAATATAACTTGTAGATTTAGATAATTTAAACCCTATGACTTCATTTATAATATGTTTAAATTTAATTAGCAGTTTATTTGTAGGTTTTTAAATTGTAAGTTTATGAGTAAAAATTATTATAAATGTTCGTGTAACAAGCTGATCATTAATGAAATATTAGTATTTCATCAAATATAATTCGATGCGCATTAGAAAGACGGAGTTTGGTACCAAAAATAAAAAAAAACTTTGTCTACGACAAGAATAACAAAAAAGACAGATAAATTTATGATTATAAATATATCTGTCTTTTCTGCTATTTTGGTAGTAGCAAGTTTTTTTTTTTTTTTTATCTTTGGTATCTTCTTAATGCGCATCAAATTATATTTGATGAAATAAAAATATTTCATTGACAATCAGCTTGTTATACAAATATGATATAATATTTTACTTATAAATGCCAAAAATATTGAACCACAAAAAAAGATGAAGTCATAAGGTTTAAATTATCCAAATCTACAGGTTATACAACTATTAGATTATGATACATTACGTAAAAAATTTTTTCAAGTGGAACAATAATTATGGTAGTCACTGTACATCTCGCGCTGATGTATACTAAATTAAATAAAGACACGACAAATAAATATTAATTCATGACGCTTTGGATAACGTCCAAATTAAGGGGGCGTTTAAAGCCTGGCACCTTCCGGTTTTCCGATATTTAAAATCGCATTTCTGACACTTTTACTTAGTGCATCAAGACCAGTTTAGATAGCCATTTTTTAGATTTTCATGTTTTTGGCTTTGTCGGGTTGTTCGGAATAATGCGGGATGTATATCGGGTAATTTCGTAAGGTGCCAGGCTTTAAACGACCCCCAAATTAATACAAATCACATGTGTGAAATGCTTTTCGAGCGTGACTATGGGCTTCTATTACTTTACTATTATGGTTAGCGTTAGTGCTTCTGGACTAGAGAAGGGATATAATAAATCGTGATCGTCTAAAAAGATGAAGTATGATATGATGAAAATCTAGAAATCGTTATTCCGAAGAGGATACAAAAATTAAGAACTTAGCTAATCAAAACTTAAAACATTTTTGACTTATAATTGATTCATATCTAAATTGCAAATAAATATTAACTTATAGTAAATTCTGTCTATTTCTAGAAGTTGTAACTATAAATCATGTTGTACTAATATCAATTGGATATTAG